GGGGATGCCCGGTGGCCGAGGGGAAGACGTGTAGTGGCGTGAAGCTAGGCGATTAGGCGCCGTACGCGAGCGCCGTTCGAGTCACGCACGCAGTACGTGTTTACTATAATTTGCATGCTGATTCAAGGTGTCGTCAACTAACTATAACATTTTTGCTATTTTTTTAAGTCTGACATAATTCATGTAAAAATAATATTGAAAAAAAAAGTAGTCATGGCTCATGTCATGTTAATAAACAACCGTGCACACCTTGCATGGGACCCATATTAAATGGATGACTTCACGATAACGACCACGCGTTAATTTAAAATAAGACTTAACATATGTATTATCATTAAAAACAAACTTAATTTGTACATACATGTAAGTTTCGTTCTCTCTTGTTTTGCAGTACATGCAGTTTGCACGCACACTTCTAAATTTACGCCGAGAGAACTGACAGTTTGTCACATGCCAGACAATATATTATGAATTAAAACATCAATACAATTTGAACTTCAATTTTTGACTTTGTCATTATAGTTTACAATAAAATGCTACGAAGAAAGTTACGTATTGATATTCCTTTGATAAATACGTAAAGGTATTATGTATAAACCTTGCATAGACCTTGTCGGAAAATACAAATGAATATCATAATCTGACACGTTATACAGTTATACAGTCCCCGTTCTATTTTTTTTACTACATTCCCTTTGTACCCAGTCACAGATACGTTAGAACAGTTTGATGACGTACAATGTTAAAGAAAAATTACGTTTTTGTCACTTATTAAAACCGACATTTTTGAAATAATTGAGAACCCATTAAAAAGTACCCATCATTCACAACAAATTATTTCTCGTACAAAAACAGAGATCAGAAATATACAAGGTAAAAAAACTGCAAAATGCAGGTTTCGCAGACAAACACAAATCTAGGCAGAAGAACAGTAAATTAAACGCTCAAATGCAAGAACACGAATAAAAGCAAAAGTGCAAGCACAACACTATCATGAATAATGTTTAATGTGGACAGACTCGTGTGGTAAATTCAAAAAATGCGCTAAGCGATTTCACACAAATAACACACTAAAAGACAAAATAGACAAAATTTTGAGGGTGGGTGCGAGAAATTTGAAACAATCTTACACGACAGATTTGCTAGAAACAAAGGACTAACGAAACTTACGCATGCGCATAAAGCAATAAACAAACACAAGTGACGTGTGCAAAGCGAATGACGTGAATACTTAATCATTTTGAAATAAATATAAAATTATTCCTCGCACAACAACAACAGAAACCAGAGTTTTGGCGGGAAAGAAAATTAAATTTATTCAAGATAAATTAAAAACAACTTGCAAAATGCAGATTAGCAGACAAACAAAAATGTAGGTCCAAATTAAAAAAGCCAAACGTCAAAACTCTATTTGAAGTATTAGGGTAAAATCGCCCACTTGAATTGAAAAGCGAATACATGCAGCAGTGCAAAAGCGATGACCTATGGATTATACAACATACAGCAGATTGAAAGGCGAAAGACACACTTCCACGTGACCTGAATAAGAGTCGGGGCCGAGGTCGATGTCACGCAGCAAGACTGATAGATGATGTGTGAAAGGCCGATGCGTGAGTGGATGAAGGATTCCAGCTGATGTTGGAATCAGGAATACAGGTGCAGTGGATGGAGCTGGCATCATCAGACCATACGTTTGTTTAGCCATGACTGGACACAAAGGCGAGTAAGGAATCGCTAGGGCAGGAACATGAATTTTCTCGCTGAACTGGATAGTCTTGGTTTCGGTAACTCGCACCACAAGACCCGCATCGGAAAAATGGATTTCCCCATGTGTAAGGTGCTTGATGATGTTTAAATTCAGATGCTGAGCGGAGAACCAAAATTGATTTACGAAAAAACGTATAAAAGAAGAAATGCTGCCCACAAGGTTTAGATGGTAGGTGCAAAGTAAAATGTCCGGAGTAATGAGTAATTTCCGACGAACATGATGTAGAAACAAACGATGAATACCATGCATGCAGTGATGGAGGGTCCAAACCCATGGGAAGGCAGCAGCCGGACGCCATTCAGATAAATACGAACGGAATCTGTTGACGACAATGAACAGGCAAGAAACTGCACATACCGGAAAGTGTTTGTGGAGAAATTGGGACATCAGCCAAAAGTAACGAACAAACAGGAGAAACGCACTCTTATATTCCTGTGATTGTTTGGCCTGTACATCTAACTGGCTGAGAGAGTCTAACGCATCTATGCAAGGACAAACATTGAACAAATTTATTACCATGGAGCGATGGTAAGTTGATCTGCCTGCAACGAAAACAGATACGACCATATATGATGTTTCTGAAACAGGTCGAAAGATTTTTTCTACAAAACCACTCGACCCATATACTGGGATGCAACCATTACGTCATGCACCGATTGACCCACATATTAAAATTCTTTAAAGCGGAGGTGTCGTAACCTGCGCACGCGCGGGAATAAGGTTCCAAGCGACGATGACAACGCATGCTAATAGCGCAAAGATTCATGGGGTGGACGATTGTGTGCAAACAATGACACGCTATTGCCATCTGACGTCATACAGTGGTAGTCCCAAATACTGGGACACGCAAACTATTACGTCCTGCAACAGTCTGAACGTGTGAACATACATTTATAGCAATCCTCAAAACACATTTTCTCTCTTATGGCAATATTTTGCTATATCGAAGTCTCAACATACTGATGCAAAAATAGAATTGACCGTTATATTTATGATTTCTTGAAATCAGGTCATTGTATTGCTCTTGATTTTTGGTACTGGCCTTACTTTTATTTCACTAATTGTAACGTGTTTTGTAAACCACTATTATAATTATTCGGCCTCGTGGAAGTTGAAAT